AAGCTGAACACTCATCTCCATCCAGTGCAGAGATTAAGAATGTATGGGATCTGTACCGTCACTCTTCCGCACTTTGTGGCGTGGTGATTAAGGGCAAAGATAACTTTACATTTACCTTTAGCGAGAAGTGGATTGATATTCTCCACACCAGATGTGTAGTTAGTGGCCGCATCCAAGAAACGGAGGTTGACTTCGATTGAACCAGAGTAGAATAATAATAGAAAAGTGTTCATATTTTCCGTTATTAATATTAGATTTATTTCCTTTTTTCAATTTCGATTTTTTCTTCAAACCCTTGAGGGAGTGCAAATACCTGGCTTCCCATCCCCCCCCCCAAACTGCCGGTGCCTATTTGTACAACTGAAAGAATGGTCCTTAAATTTGTTGAAAGCCTGCGCGAACGAACATGGTCGTTGTTGTACTGCTTATGTACGTGTATGTCGTCTTAATTTTAGGATGAATTGGCCAACTTCCGGCGCGATCCCAACAAGTTGCAGAAAGCACGTATGAACTTCGTCATGTTTGTCTCTCTGTCCTCGTGTTGTAACTGGGGAAACCACTGGACGGATTTTAATAAAATCTGATATCAAGAAGTTTCGCTAAAAATTGTTTGTACGTTCCAGTTTTGGTTAATATCGGACAACAAGAGAAGACACTTTACAGGAACTCTTACTCGCGTTTCTGCGCCATCTCGAGGCGTCAGTCGCTAAATGTTTGTCAAAGATGAAAACATTTTGCACAGAGTTGTAGAGAAAAATGAAACACACGTTTTATGCCCGATTTGCTTTTTCCGCAAGTCCCACAGTTTTCGAGATAAGCAAAGTTGAGAGAGCTCACGCACTGGGTGGCTAAGTGTAACAATTGATTTCCGACTGCCGTGTCGTGAGGAAGCTCTACCAGCATTAGCTTTGTAATAAGGATTATATAGGTACAACATGTAACGCGTATAGCTGGGCAACGGCGTGATAAACACCTCTCTTAAGCGCATGCAACAATGGGACGCATCTTTATAGCTCGTTGCTGGGCAACAGTCAGCGCGGCAATGAACTGGCAAGATAGCTATCACGTGACTCGTTTTCAGTGTGGTCCGCGCCATGCCCAGTACTAAGCAACAGAACTGTAAACACGTCTAAAATAATAGGTGTTCTCTATGGGGGCCGTGTCTAAGGTTTATAGGGTACAGTGAAGGTCGTTTGCATTCGTTTTGGCTCGAAACCAAGACTTACCGTCAGTCGCAATGTGACTTTGACTTGTTTGCAGTCACTCATAGTTGAGAAGCCGTGAATCAAGGACTCGAAGGAAAAGAGTTGTGAGGATTCAGCTGTGAAGTGTTGACGGACATTGAAGACTTTATGTGCTATAGTTACAGTAGTCTTGGGAGTGTAAGAACTGATTGTAGTTACGACTAATGAAGATCCAATAAACCGATTCAACAATCCAAACCCGCGTCTTAGTCACTGAAACACGTGACAATATTATTGTACGGATATTTGCCTCTTGTTAGATTTCGTAGTAGGGAAGATATGATGCGAGCCATCTGTGTGATCGCTTTCAGACTTTGAGCTGTGTTATCGGTTATAGCCCCGAATGAACTTCAGTACCATTTTTAATAATAATAAAAAATAGCTCCTCTCTCAGACATCGGCCTCACTGAACTAATGACGGGGCTGACTAATTTTATAAATGCACTACTGGGCTCTTTCTCTCTATAACTGTGCTCCATGAAACCACAAGGTTCTACGATTTAACCCTTTCTGGCATAAATTTCCTACACATTACGTCTCCGCTACGAAGCCCAACCGGTTAATGCTGTTTAGGGAAACAGTCGCTGTTTATTGTGAGAACCATACGGAACACACAGACACTCTGTGGGCAGAATGCAGAGTTTTAGTATGTTCAGTCCGTACCTCACAGGAAACATTACGTCTCCGCTACAAAGCCCAACCGGTTAATGCTGTTTAGGGAAACAGT